AAAAAAAAAAAAAAAAAAAATGCTCTGAGGTATCAAGTATAGTTCAATAATGGCACCTGCATACCGCAAGCTCTTAGCATTCAAACACTCTTCAGACAGCAGAGAGAGCAACCTACCTCACAAGCTATCTGTCATGAGCTACTGTTGGATGATAAACTAACACCTCCAAGCTTTCCTCTGGAATTGATTGCACACTGCATAGGCAAATGCTGCACACACAAAATGACCTTGAACATTAGCGTTAGTGTTACTTGAATATGCGTCTTAATATTCATTAAGTTATAATGACTTTTTCACATTATTTGTTAAAGAGCTTTGAAGCATGAGCATTGTCAACATATTTCTAATAATGTTTACATTTGATACTTCAAAACAGCATGAATTCAAATGAAAAGATTTGATGCAAGAGCTGAAAGTGTCTTTTGATGATGCAAATCTGTTGTTAAATGTCATTGTGAAAGGACTGGGTGAAGGAATTCATTATACTGTATATAAACACTGTAAGACTGCAATAACACACAATAAAAAGAGAAAACTCAGACTATATAAAAATATACAGAATGGGGAAAAGAAATGGTGGACTTTAAAATAGCTTCTAATGACTTGAATCGAGATTTAAACGGTGCTTGAGTAAAGGAGGGAGAGGAATAAGTCAGAAGAGGGAGCTCCTGCCATCCCACTCCAGAGATACCAGTGTACACTTAATAACCTTTGTTTCTTTTTTTTTCTCTAAAAGACCTATGAAAATATCTATTTTATTTTGGTTTTCTGAGTTTTTTCTTTGAGAATTCAGATAGCTATATCTAGCACTCATCATTGTTTTCTTTCTGCTTCAAATAAGGGTTTTTCAAACCAGGAATAGATATAAAAAAAATCTTGACCCTTGATATTCAAATCTATTTCTTAAACTCCCTCCATTTATAAGGCTTGAATGAATCTAATCTAAATCCACTTAAGTCAGCATAGTCCCTTTACTTGTCTACTTTATACTAGTTGAGAATCTAGCCTCTGTTGCTCCTATGCAGCCAACCTGCAGTTGCTAACCCCAGAAGAGGAGATAGATAATGTGGCCTCTGGGCTCTCCTGGATATATTTTGGGCCAGAGGATCCACATAACTCATTTTGTCATTGATTCTCATTTTCCTATGTAGAGGACAGCTCTAAGTCTTTCCCACTGTCTAACCCCAGAATAAAGATGGAATATAGCATCTCCATGCATTTCAGATGTTGTGTACTGACAAAAGGGAGCTGGAATGTGACCCTGCATGTCATATGTTATGATAACTGGTGTCTTTCTTTTGCCCCTTCCTGAATCCCCCTTTTGTTACTCACCGGTACTGCTCTGGATGGTCCTCACAGTAGTGGTTGTGCGTGGAGGAGATGAGGACCTTAACGACACACATTCATCATCCTGGGAACAGCCCTTCTCGATTGCTCTCACATAGCTGTGGCTCCTCATGCGGAAACAGCCTGGCATTGGCAGATCCAGGGCCTCCACTGCCTGAGATTCTAGTTCACTGAACACCGATTCACAGACTGATTCAAACTGACCATTTACTTCCATCTCACTCACCTGGAGGCAAAACACAGGCGGTTTAATTATATCTTGTAGATCCATCCTATTTCCACATTAAAAAAAACAAACAAACCCCAAAATCGGTGCAATACCTATAATCCCAATTAAGGGATGCTTTGAAAATGAAAAGCAAATTACACATCACAGAATTTTTATATTTTGTAAAATAAAAGCAAATAAAAAACCTACCTACTTAGATAGAATACTGAGTTATGGATGCTAAAACCTCAGTTCTAAACTCATCTGGGCCAACAATAGGGATTAAACCTGGAGCCTTGGATAGAGCCTCTACTACTGGAATTAAAGGACTGACTACCCTGGCTAATAGCCAGAACAGACTCATTTACCTTTGTTCTGGGGTTGTTACATGATAATGATCACTCGTAACTTTGGGTTACATTAAAAAGCACAAGGCTATGCTGCATATCTTACAAACTGGGCAACCTGTGTTTCTACACTCAAGAGTGAGCCCTAAACTGGGCCTTACTGAATTATAGTAATCCCCAAGGCATAACAGGGCAGCAGGCTGGCACAGGGTAGCACCAGCTCCCAGTGGTGTGGTGGCAGCACCTGTTTTTGCACTGTCTGCCAGCTGGCAACACCTGGGGCTACTGCCCCAGTCACCCTGCTCAGTTACACTGTTAATAATCATTACAGGAAAAAATATACCCTAAACTGTAATATGTAGAAGTATTCATTATTTTTCAGGAATTCAGAAGGTGCAGGGAAGATTAGAAGTGCTTAGTGTGGTCTGTGAGACTACAACCCTTTCTATACTGGGCTGAACGCTAAGAAAGAAAAGTTTAGGTTACGCGTCAGGGAATATTTTTGTATAGTGAAATCCATTAGGATGTGAAATCATTTCCAAAGGGAAGTAAGGGGGATTGCTTAGAAAAAAAACAATGGATAAACCCTGCTGTAAAGAACAACCCTAACTGGCAGACAATAGCTTAAATTGCCAAACAAGTATCTCATACTTAATTGCTCTGATTTTTTTTGCC